TGGTGTAACCTTTAGGAACACCATGTCTCCCACCTCAAACTCCAGGTTTTTCCTTCGATGATCGACATAACTCTTCTGCCGGCTCTGAACTGTTTGTATTTTCTGGCGAATAATTTTGACCTTTTCTATTGCTTCTTCAATCCATGGTACTGTGGTTAAATCCAATACTTTCCTCTCACCTACTTCATCCCAAAAGATCGGTGAGCGGCACTTGTGCCCGTATAAGACTTCATATGGTGCCATTTGTATGATGGAATGATAGCTGTTGTTATAGACAAACTCGATCAGGGTGAGGTGTTGGCTCCAGTTCCCTCAAAAATCCATAACACATGATCGGAGCATGTCCTCAAGGGTTTGTATAATTCTCTCTGATTGTCCATCTATCTGAGGATGGTAAGCTGTACTTAAGTGTAGTTTAGAACCCATAGCTTCTTGCATCCTTTGCTAGAATTGTGACACGAAGCGGGGATCTTTGTCAGAGACAATACTCACTGGTACTCCATGTAACCGTATAATTTCATCCAGATACAACTGAGCTAGTTTTTCTAGGGAGTACTTCATGTTCACGAGAAGAAAATGGGCTGATTTAGTTAAACGGTCCACAATTGCCCATATGGCATCATGTCCTTTTTGTGTCCGCGGTAATCCTGAAACAAAATCCATCGTAATGTTTTCCCATTTCCACTCTGGCACTTCCAAGGGCTAGAGTAACCCTGAAATTTTTTGGTGTTCAACATTAATCTACTGACAGGTTAGACACGTCTGTACAAATTGCGCTATTTCCTTTTTCATACTATCCCACCAGTATAACTTTTTCAAATCTTGGTACATCTTTGTCGTACCAGGATGTACAGTATACCGTGATCGGTGAGTTTCTTTGTGAGACCCAGTCAGTTCTTAAGTTTGATATTAGGTGATATTCATTATTTGTGCGGTAAAATTGGGGTTTTAGGGCTGAGGAGAAAACCCTAATCTGGGTTAGGATTGAAACCCTAGTTTTGTATTAATCACAAGTTCAAGTTGTAATTAAAGTTAGTTATGCTAGTGTGTGTTTTAGTATAGGTAAGTATAGGATTTGATCTATTTTATATAGGTTAAATAAGTTTAAGAAGGTTAGAAACCCTAAATGAGTAAAACATCTAGTGTTATGATTTATTAGAAGTTTTAAGTTCGGTTTAAACCCTAATTTTGCCCTTGACAAAAAGGTTATTGTTTAATTGCTTTTATGTGGGATAAAGTATGTTTAAGTATAGATGATTAATATAGGAGGGTGATTAGTGAAGTAATTAAGTGTGGTCAAGTGTTTTAGATTAGATTAAGTTGGTAACCTATGGAGTAAATTGAAAGCTTTTCAAATGTTTAAGGTCAAGAGTTGATCAATGCAAAGTTGAAGGTGTGAGGGCTTGAGACCAAAAATGAAGCTTTTGTGTGATTGGTGGAAGTAGAAATATCTTCCAAGGCTTTGACCATCTTATACATATCATAGGATTTCCATAAAAAAAACAAAACAAAATAAGAAAGAAGAGAGAGAGAGAGGTGGCCGAGAGCAAGAGCAAAGAGAGAAAGGAAAAATTCTTAAAAGTTCTTCTTTATCTAGCTTCCATCTTGATCTTGGAGTTTAAGGGAAACAACTTGGGCCTTGTTTGTGGTAACTTTCTTCATTTACAAAGTTTTCTTGAAGGTAAAATTATCTCTCTCTTGGAAGTTAAAGTTGGGGAATTAATTTTGAAGCCATGAAAGTGAAGTTTTGTTGTGATTATGAACTTTGTATGATTCATGAGGTGTTTATGGTGTTGATTCATGGTTTATTTTAGTGGTTTATTGCTGCCCAAATTTCGGTTAAGCTTATGAAAGAATTAGGGTTTCTTGCTTCATAGTTATTCAAGTTGATTTGGATGATTGTTTGGCTTGTATATGGAGCCTATGATGTGTTAATTTCACTTGTGTGGTTAATTGTTAGTAAAATCAGATTTTGTCCATGAAACCCTAGACTCCATTAGGTTAGTTTAGCTTGGCTAGAGTTTAGTTGGTTAGGGTTTAGTTAGTAGATTGTTAGAATAAGTTCAATGGTGCAAATGAAGTGAGGATAGGGATTTTGGTTAGTGTTTGGTAATTTTATGGTGACTTATAAGGAAAGTTTTGGCCCATTAGTAGGCCATTTAAAAGTTAATATATGTGTGCTTATTTGGTAGGAGTTGGGTTAGAAAGCTTGCATAAGAACCATAGAACGGACCGTGCGGTTGCAGCGCGCAAAAACGGCAAAACTGGAAATCAGGGCAGTCCACAAATCCGAACTTGAGTTCTGTTTTTCTTGATGCTCCGTACTGATTCAGTTTTGGAAAAATTATGCCCTTATATATAAGCTTTCTAATGCCTTTGGAATTTCTTGATTCTAATCTCTGAGTCATGAGTTATGGTCTTTCAAACAGGGCCTGTTTGGTAACCCGAAATGAAATGCCTGGAACTGTTTTATGCATTTTTTTCCTAATTCCATTGAGATTCAGCTTGAGGTGTCTTCATGAAAATTTTATCCCTTCTTCTTAGCTTCGTAATGGTACCTCATGCACTTCGATCCAATAACCGTAGCCCGAAATTTGATCAAAACGGTTTTAGATGCCAAATCTGCCGTTTCCGTTGCCGGCCGTTTACGTTTTCGTTTGCTGTTTCCGCACTTGCATGTGCCAATTTTGCCGTTTTACTTGTTTTGGGCATGTTAGTAGCTGTTTATGATATAAAGTGATGCAATCTTCTATTTCAGACGGTGGTGGGCTAGGTGGAGCCAGTAGGGCCTACTACTAGCTATCCTTCGCGACACGATTTTCGTACTTTTGCTATCATGGTTCTTTGTGTAAGTATTCGGGCCGTTTTGTATATAACTTGCTTATGTGTTTAAGGTGAATGAAAGGGGTACCTAGGCGAGGGTGTACTTCATCGCACTCGACCTAAACCCTAATTTACATGCATCTTTGCACATGATATGTCTAAATGAATTAATTTGGATTTGAGCCCCTTGAGCTTGTAGCTCGGGGTGACATTTGTGAGTTGGGGTCGATCTTCCGACCTAGATGGACTATTCGAGCTAGCCGGGGCTTGGTCGAAGCCAGTCCAACCTAGTCTGAGGTCACCAAGTTTGTAGGTTCATGCTATGAACCAAGTTTTTGAATCCGGTTCACCGAGAATATGAACCAAGTTTGTGAATCGAGCTTGTAAACTAAGCTCAATTTCGTTCGTTTTGAGCAAGTTTGTGAGGTGACTGGCCAGTGAGAGTGATAAGGTGTTAGGTGGGAGTACAAGTGGAGTTCTATGGACCTTATTTATGGTCGACGGAATGTCGGCAGAAGCTCACCCATGGCAAACGACTTGGCTTTGGAGCCAACCTGTATCCTTCCTTTGTATTGTTACTTTTGCACTTGATTTGACATTTTTGTGAAATAGTTGTTTATCTAAATGTGAAATTTATGATTTTACCCTTGTTTACTTACTAAGCATATAGCTTACCCCTTTTCTTTTGTTTTCCTTAGCAGGGCCGACGCGGGGATACTCTTTGGCACCTTCACTAGTATAGTTAGGTGTGCTTGTTAGTTAGACGTTTAAGACGTTTCTTCTTGTTTTGGTGGCCTGTATAAGAACCCCTTTATCGGGTCTACTTTATATATTTGGTGATTAGCACATGGTGATATAGTAATCTGAACATCTATTTTGGAGGATGTAATTAGAACTCTTTTGGGATTCTATATATTGTATATAGTACTTTTTTGGTTTATCTAGCTCTTATTGCTTTAAGTTTTGAGTCCTGGCATGAGCTAGGCAGGCAGCCTGCTAATACCCTCGGGTTCACCCTTGGGAGAAATGGGGTCGTCACAGGTGGTATCAGAGCGCCTAGGTTAGAGGACTTAGGCAAGTGGGACATACGCGATAGGCACTAGGCATATCTGATTCTTTTAAAATGAATGATATATTTTAAGTTGAAATGCCGGTGAGCTGACGAATTAATGTTTTGTAGGTATGGATCCAGGCAGTTCTAGCGGTGTGGCACCCAGGGCGTAGGATCGGGACCGAGACCTCCTAGCGCAGGGGGCCCGATGAACCAAGCGTTATGCCGGTTAGAGCTTCGATATCAGAGGACGCCTGGAGAGCCGTACAGAGTATTTTCACCTTTTGGTCGACAGAACCGATCGTGTGAGTGCCGACACGAGTTCGGCTACCGAAATGAGGTCGTCCTGGCAGTAGACGACGAGCGACGCCGCCTGAGAAAGGTGACTGATCGCTTGGCTAGACAGCTGGATGAGGCTAGAGAGTTTGACCACAGGCAGGTTAGGCGTATTAAGGATTTGGAGCTGCGCATTAGGGATTTGGAGCAGGGGCTCCGAGTTGAGGAGGAGAGGACGGATACTCTTCGTCGTCAGCTCCATGACACCCACCAGCACCTCTTCGCCATGAAGGGGCAGCTGAGAGAGAGGGCCTGGAGTATCATGTTGGACTATGAGGTCCTATTAGATGTGGCCGCTGAGGCACCCCCACGAGCTACCGGTCTAGAGATGATGAACGAGGTGGACACTTTAGGTTCCGTGGGGAATCGGGGCCCTAGGGAGGCGTTTAGGGTCGCTTTTGTACATTTGATTAGCTGGCGGATTACTTTTGTTAGAACTGGCATGGCTACTTTCTTTTGTTATTTGGTTGACTGACTAGATTTTTGGAGCCGGAGTGCTCGTGTGTATACTGGTTTTGTACCGACTGGAGGTCGGGTAATTTGTATATCTTTTGGTGTGACTTTGTAAATATATGTATACATTTGAGTATAATCTTTTGAACTTATCTTTTGCAAGTTTTTTGTGCATATGCTATGTGTTCCTTACTTTGTTCATAGTTTGGATAATAAGTACACGTTATGTTTCGACTTATAGACTTTTGCCCTTAAATGGACTCCGGTGGTCGAGGTAGAGATAGAGGGCAAGGACGAGGCTCTGAAGGAGAAAATGACAATGACCCGGATCAAGTAACTATAGCCATCCAGCGAATGGCTGATCTGCTAGAGCGAATGGTGAATCAGCAGGGCCAGGGGAGTAACACCGGGAATCTTGGACATAATCCAGGTAATCATGAGGGAGAGGACCATACTTTAGAACGGTTCCAAAAATTTGCACCTCCAAAATTTATAGGTGGACCAAATCCTGACCTAGCAGAGAGTTGGATGGACCGTATGATGGATATATTTGCTGCCCTCGGGTATTCGGAGGAACGACAGATATCTTTTGTTGTTTTCAGTTTGAGGGGGCTGCTCGAGCTTGGTGGAATGTGATTAAAGCCAAGTGGGAGCGCGAACAGATCCCTGGACATGGGTTAATTTTACACGGGAATTCAATATAAAATATCTGCCGCCCATTGTGCAAGAGAAACGGGAAGATGATTTTATCTGCCTGCGTCAAGGGGCATCTAGTGTGCCGGAGTACGAAACTCAGTTTACAAAACTCTCTCGCTTTGCCCCAGAGCTGGTGCTAACGGAGCAAAAACGAATCCGCCGCTTCATTCAAGGGTTAAATGTGGAAATCCAGGAAGCCCTAGCGGCCGCATAGCTGGACACATTTAGTCAGGCACTAGAAAAGGCACAAAGAATTGAGATAGCTAGGGGACAAGTAAAAGCTTTGCATGACCAAAAAAGAAAACAACCTAGCTCCAACGTTGCGCCCGACAAAACTCGAGAAACGAGTCACCTTTTAAGACGAGTAAAGGAACAGATGGGTCACGACCTGCAAGGATTTTGAATAACTTTGGGAGAGGTCAGGTAGGGCAAGAGCCCCAGAGGAGTACCCAGCGTGGAGGGTCAAGTGCGGGCATTAAACCAACCTGTGGTTTCTGTGGGGGCAATCACACCGATGAAAATTGCTGGAAAAATAGTTCGGTACGGAAATGCTTTAAATGTGGTAGCATCGAACATCTGATTGCCCAGTGCCCCAAGATGCAGAAGGAAAGACTTAAGTCACCAACTGAAGGGACCACAACCAAACACGAACGAACGCAGGGGGAAATTGACCCAAAGGGCCAGCAAGAGTGTATGCAATGGGTCAACAAGAGGTGACTAACCCTTCGACGGGCGTCGAAGGTACGCTCTCTTTTCGGTGTACCGCAAGTGTTTTCAAAAACCCTGATGCCGCGCATTTTTGTAAACCCTACATTCCATGGTTCGCGAACAAAGGAATTAATTTCGAGGACGAAATTGTTCTAAGTGGGGGAGGTTGTGAGACCTCAGTCAGTTCTTAAGTTTGATATTAGGTGATATTCATTATTTGTGCGGTAAAATTGGGGTTTTAGGGCTGAGGAGAAAACCCTAATCTGGGTTAGGATTGAAACCCTAGTTTTGTATTAATCACATGTTCAAGTTGTAATTAAAGTTAGTTATGCTAGTGTGTGTTTTAGTATAGGTAAGTATAGGATTTGATCTATTTTATATAGGTTAAATATTTTTAAGAAGGTTAAAAACCCTAAATGAGTAAAACCTCTAGTGTTATGATTTATTAGAAGTTTTAAGTTGGGTTTAAACCCTAATTTTGCCCTTGACAAAATGGTTATTATTTAATTGCTTTTATGTGGGATAAAGTATGTTGAAGTATAGGTGATTAATATAGGAGGGTGATTAGTGAAGTAATTAAGTGTGGTCAAGTGTTTTAGATTAGATTAAGTTGGTAACCTATGGAGTAAATTGAAAGCTTTTCAAATGTTTAAGGGCAAAAGTTGATCAAATGCAAAGTTGAAGGTGTGAGGGCTTGAGACCAAAAATGAAGCTTTTGTGTGATTGGTGGAAGTAGAAATATCTTCCAAGGCTTTGACCATCTTATACATATCATAGGATTTCCATAAAAAAAAAACAAAACAAAATACGAAAGAAGAGAGAGAGAGAGGTGGCCGAGAGCAAGAGCAAAGAGAGAAAGGAAAAATTCTTCAAAGTTCTTCTTCATCTAGCTTCCATCTTGATCTTGGAGTTTAAGGGAAACAACTTCGGCCTTGTTTGAGGTAGCTTTCTTCATTTACAAAGTTTTCTTGAAGGTAAAATTATCTCTCTCTTGGAAGTTAAAGTTGGGGAATTAATTTTGAAGCCATGAAAGTGAAGTTTTGTTGTGATTATGAACTTGTATGATTCATGAGGTGTTTATGGTGTTGATTGATGGTTTATTTTAGTGGTTTATTGTTGCCCAAATTTCGGTTAAGCTTATGAAAGAATTAGGGTTTCTTGCTTCATAGTTATTCAAGTTGATTTGGATGATTGTTTGGCTTGTATATGGAGCCTATGATGTGTTAATTTCACTTGTGTGGTTAATTGTTAGTAAAATCAGATTTTGTCCATGAAACCCTAGACTCCATTAGGTTAGTTTAGCTTGGCTAGAGTTTAGTTGGTTAGGGTTTGGTTAGTAGATTGTTAGAATAAGTTCAATGGTGCAAATGAAGTGAGGATAGGGATTTTGGTTAGTGTTTGGTAATTTTATGGTGACTTATAGGGAAAGTTTTGGTCCATTAGTAGGCCATTTAGAAGTTAGTATATGTGTGCTTATTTGGTAGGAATTGGGTTAGAAAGCTTGCAGAAGAACCATAGAACGGACCGTGCTGTTGCAGCGCGTAAAAACGGCAAAACTGGAAATCAGGGCAGTCCACAAATCCGAACTTGAGTTCTGTTTTTCTTGATGCTCTGTACTGATTCAGTTTTGGGTCAAAATACAAAAATTATACCCTTATATATAAGCTTTCTAACCCCTTTGGAATTTCTTGATTCCGATCTCTGAGTCGTGAGTTATGGTCTTTCAAACAGGGCCTGTTTGGTAACCCGAAATGAAATGCCTGGAACAGTTTTATGCATTTTTGTCCTAATTCCATTGAGATTCAGCTTGAGGTGTTTTCATGAAAATTTTAGCCCTTCTTCTTAGCTTCGTAACGGTACCTCATGAACTTCGATCTAATAACCGTAGCCTGAAATTTGATCAAAATGGTTTTAGGTGCCAAATCTGCCATTTCCGTTGCCGGCAGTTTACATTTTCATTTGCCGTTTCCGCACTTGCATGTGCCAATTTTGCCGTTTTGCTTATTTTGGGCATGTTAGTAGCCATTTATGATTAATGTGATGCAATCTTCTATTTCAGACGGTGGTGAGCTAGGTGGAGCCGGTGGGGCCTACTACTAGCTATCCTTCTCGACACGATTTTCGTACTTTTGCTATCGTGGTTCTTTGTGCAAGTATTCGGGCCGTTTTGTATATAATTTGCTTATGTGTTTAAAGTGAATGAAAGGGGTACCTAGCGAGGGTGTACTTCATCGCACTCGACCTAAACCCTAATTTACATGCATCTTTGTACATGACATGTCTAAATGAATGAATTTGGGTTTGAGCCCCTTGAGCTTGTTGCTCGGGGTGACGTTTGTGAGTTGGGGTCGATCTTCCGACCTAGATGGACTATTCGAGTCAGCCGGGGGCTTGATCGAAGCTAGTCCAACCTAGTCTGAGGTCACCAAGTTTGTAGGTTCTTGTTGTGAACCAAGTTTGTGAATCCGGTTCACCGAGAATGTGAACCAAGTTTGTGAACCGAGCTTGTAAACCAAGCTCAATTTCGTTCGCTCGAGCAATTTTGTGAGGTGACTGGCAGTGAGGGTGATAAGGTGTTAGGTGGGAGTACAAGTGGAGTTCTACGGACCTTATTTATGGTCGACGGAGTGTCGGCAGAAGGTCACGCGTGGCAAACGACTTGGCTTTGGAGCCAACCTGTACCCTTCCTTTGTATTGTTACTTTTGCACTTGATTTGACATTTTTGTGAAATAGTTGTTTATCTAAATGTGAAATTTACAATTTTACCCCTGTTTACTTACTAAGCATATAGCTTACCCCTTTTCTTTTGTTTTCCTTAGCAGGGCCGACGCGGGATACTCTTTGGCACCTTCACTAGTATAGTTAGGTGTGCTTGTCTTAGTTAGGCGTTTAAGACGTTTCTTCTTGTTTTGGTGGCCTGTATAAGAACCCCTTTATTGGGTCTACTTTATATATTTGGTGATTAGCACATGGTGATGTAGTAATTTGAACATCTATTTTGGAGGATGTAATTAGAACTCTTTTGGGATTGTATATATTGTATATAGTACTCTTTTGGTTTATCTAGCTCTTATTGCTTTAAGTTTTGAGTCCTGGCGCGAGCTAGGTAGGTGGCCCGCTGATACCCTCGGGTTCGCCCTTGGGAGAAGTGGGTCGTCACATTCTTCCAATATCTCCCTTTTAATATCTGTATCCTGCGGTACAACCAACCGAGTACGATACCTCAATACCCCATCTGAGTTCACATTAAAATCGGGTATCGATCTCTTTTCAACTCTCTCCTTCCATTTTTGCACCTGACAATCATCCTTCTGAGCTTCTTTTATACGAGGTATTAGAGTAGAAGTTATCTTAACATTGCTCACAAGCACTGCTGAGGACTTAAGTTGAGGATTCCCTTTCCCAGCTTTCTCTAATAGTTCCCACTCTTTTACCTGCAAACTGGACACCTGAGCTTTACGGCTATGAGCATCAGCTACTACATTAGCCTTCTCTGGATGATACTTAATGGTGCAATCATAATCCACTAGGAACTCCATCCACCGACATTGCGTCAAACTCAACTCTTTTTGTGAAAATAAATACTTGAGACTCTTGTGATCGGTGAATACCTCAAAAGTTATCTCGTACAAATAATGACGCCACTTTTGAAGAGCAAAAACTACGGCTGCTAATTTCAAGTCATGGGTGGGGTAGTTTTGCTCATGAGGTTTTAACTTCCGAGATGCGTACGCTATCACCTGCCCATTTTGCATAAGTACACACTTTAAGCCCATCCGAGATGCATCTGTATATACCACAAAGCTGTTCTTTCCGTTGGGCAAAGTCAAAATTGGTGCGAAAGTTAGTTGCCCTTTCAACTCTTGAAAACTGGCTTCACACTTTGTAGTCCAAACGAATTGATTATGAATTTTGGTCAAATCCGTTAGAGGTCCAGCTATCTTGGAAAAATCCTTGATAAAGTGGCGATAATATCCTGCCAGCCCTAAGAAACTCCTAACTTTCGTTGGGTTCTCTGGTCGTTTCCATTCGATGACCACTTTTACCTTAGCGGGTCCACTGCTATACCATCTTTTGAAATAACGTGTCCTAAAAAGGATACTTTTTCCAACCAAAACTCACATTTACTAAATTTGGCATATAATTGGTGTTCCTTAAGAGTTTGTAGTACTAGGCTCAAATGTTGTTCATGGTCCTTACGAGTCTTAGAGTAAACCAAAATATCATCAATAAATACCACAACAAATTGGTCTAGATAGGGTTTAAAAAATCGATGCATTAGGTCCATGAACGTGGCTGGAGCGTTAGTCAATCCGAAGGGCATAACTGCAAATTCAAAATGTCTATACCACGAATTAAAGGCAGTCTTGGATATATCCTCTCTTCGTATCCTCAACTGGTAATATCCCTGTCGAAGATCTAACTTAGAAAATACAATTGTGCTTTGCAGTTGATCAGACAACTTATTAATAAGTGGCAGGGGATATTTATTCTTAATGGTGAGATTATTTAACCCTTGGTAATCAATGTACATCCGTAATCCTCCATCTTTTTTCTTTACAAACAATACTGGGCTGTGAGAACCCGCAATTTTCTCATTTTCTAGGTTTTATTCTCTTTAATGGCATGTTTTCTGCATTTTCTTTATTAGAAAAATTTTTTCGATAATTTTTATGAGTAAATAATAGTTTTTAGGTGATTTTTCTAGTATCGGTTAGTTTTTTAGAAATTAACAGCGTATACCGGACGTGGGACCCGCTAGTGCGAAAAGTTCGGAAAAATTCGGCCAACTAGGTTAAATTTCGGACACTGAGTTTAAATTATCGGGTGCTAAGAGATAATTAGAGGTTACCAAGTGGATTGGTGTGAGAGGAAACAAAGTGATAGGTATGCATTAATGAAAGTGACATGTGTCACTTAGAGGTTAATTCTTACTTTTGACTACTATTCACCCTTTTACCATTTGTTTAAAATAACTCAAAAATTGACCAAAAATCACTCAAAATTTGCTCCTTGTGGCCGGCCATCTTCAAGCAACAAGACAAGAAAAGCTCTCCAATTTCTTTGCTCCAAACTTGCTCAATCTTCAATTTCCACCGTTTAATTTTGTGTTTGCTCCATAAAAGCCCTCCACTTAGTGATTGTGAGGTGATTGGTGAAATTGTTTGGAAGGCTAAGGTGTTGAATTGCTTCCTTTCTTGTCTTATAAGGTGAGTGACTAAGGGACTACTCTTGTCTTTTCAATAATGCTTAATTAGTGATTAATGTGAGCTTAAGTGATGATTTTAGTGGTTATTTTGTGATTTTTGGATGAAATTGGTGAAGTTTTATATTTATTTGTGATTTTTCTGTTTTCATATGATTATTATTGTGTGGCCATGTATGATGATTGGAAATGATATTGAAGGAAGCTAGAAGGTGGAAAGTGTGGTTAATTGAAGAAAATTTCTGTTTTGGAAGGAAATTTGGAAAGTTAGGGTTTCATTTCCTTCATTCTGCCTGGCACTGTTCATCATAGTTAGAGGCCGAATTTGTGACGGCCCCACCTCTCCCTAGGGCGTACCAGAGGGTTCGGCGGGCCGCCTGCCCGGCTCTCGCCGGGACTCAGTCGTTCACTACAATCCTCAAATAAATACAATACAAATCTCAAGTATACATCAAATGGTCCACAAATACTCATCCATCTCCAATAATTACATGTCACAAATGCAGCGGAAACTAATCCCAAATATGCATAAAATAATTCCGAATCCAAAATTGTACAAAGTTTAGGCCATCCATACACGTGCACAAGTACTACAAGTCCTTCCTTCACCACGAGCCCTGTGGAGGGGAATAAAATAGTTTTTGGGGTGAGCTAAAAGCTCAGCGAGTAACCAGAAAATCATTAATCAAATCGGTTTCACAATAGTTCATTTCAATGATGTCATATAGCAATGATGTCATAAATTAAATGATAAATCCGGAAACAACTACATCATTTGCAAAACAGTAAATATGGATTATCAATAATTCAAGAAACATTTACAATGGAAAGCGATAGTAACATTCATGAAAGGATACATTCATTCTCCTGACATTTCCTCGCTCATTTGGTCATTCATTTCATTTCATTCACCCCGTCCCTGGCTTTTGGCCAGGCTCCACCAACCTACATAGGTAATACTCGAGTATACCAAACGTTCACCCAAGTTCCTAATCGCCTGACCGAGTCCGCTTCTGGCTCAAGACGACCGGAACAAGGGGCAATGGCCAGTTCAGCCCAAAAGGCTTACATTCATGCGCAAGTAACATTTCAATCGAAAATTTCACATTTATCGAGGTCGAGTGCGATAAAGTACACACTCGCCTCGAAAACTCGTTTTGGAAATCATTATAAGCGCTTAACACGTTATCAACCAAAATACAAGTCATGAAGTCAAGAAATATAGCAAACAAGGCACACTCAAATGCCAGCACACATGATATGCAAGAAAACATTTCAAAAGTAACTTTGGAAACAGTTCAAAAGTAAATAATGTAAGAAACGGTTCATAAATAACTTTAGAAGTAGTTTGAGGTCACTCACCTCCACGGCTCAGAACCCATTCGTCATAAACCATTATCTTGTCCGAATCCAAGCCCTAAAACCCAAAACAGATTTGATGTCATTAGCGGTTTTGGCACCATTGGCACTACGATTATCGGAAGAGGGTGTAAGACCCACCGTTTCGAAGCTAAGAACCAGGGCTACAACAATGTAGAAGGCCTCTCAGTCCAAATCCTAGCACAACTAGGTCAAAAATGCCAAATACTACACCAGAACCACCAAAAACAGGTTTACAAATCACACAATGCTGTAATCAGTACAACTCAGTCTATACAAGTCCAAATGCATTGATTCCAAGGGCATATGATAGCTAAGACATTCAACTACATTTCATCAGAAGACACCAACATCCAAATCCAAAGCAATTCCAGTCAAAATGGCCAATTACAAGTGCAGTTTTCACATTCTGATCAACCCAGAACAGCAACATTAAAATCGACATATCTCACTCTACACTAATCTAAATGACCTGAAATTTTGCAGGCACTTCAAACTCATCAATACCTACAACTTTCATGTTTTAAGCAAAGTCCAATTCGGCCTTTAACCCTATGATCCAAAACCGGACAGAATTAGGGGTTATAAAACCCTAACTTTCCACAATTCAATCCAAACCCAAAATTGGTTATAATTATCACTAATTCACACCTACTAGAGTCTTTCCCCCTCATTATCAACCATCATAGATGACCACAACATCACATTCATATTAAACCAGAAAATTCCTCAAAAATATTAAAACTTCACCAAATCACTTCAAATCAAGAAATAAATCACAAATATCATCACTTTAGCCACTACTAAGCATAACTTAAGCATCATTAGGTGTAAGAGGGCATTCACACACCACTCACCTAGTAACCAAGAGAGGTAGAGATGTTGGACACCTTAGCTCTTCAAACAAACTTCACTAAACTACTTACTAGCACTCAAGGGAGGAATTTTATGGAGTGGAATCTAGTTTAGGCATTTGTTTTTGGAAGATTGAACCAAATGGAAGCTTGAAAATTGATGAAGTTTCTTCCTTCTTGAGCTTGAGAGGGCCGGCCACCAAGGAGAAGAAATGGTGAATTTTAGTGATTTTTTGGAGATATTAACCACTTAGTCAAAAATAGTCAAAAAGGTGAATAGTGTTCCATAAGTCCTATCCAACCAACAAGTGACATTTGGCACTCCATTAATGCATGTCAATCCTTTTGTTTCCTCTCACATCAATCACTTCACATCCTCTACTTATCTCTTAACACCCGATAAATTTTACACAGTATCCGAAACTTAACCTAATTGGCCGAATTTTTCCGAACTTTTCGCACTAGTGGGTCCCACGTCCGATATACGCTCTTTATTTCTCAAAAACTAATCGATACTAGAAAATCATCTTAAAACTATATTTACTCATAAACTTTATCTGGGAAATTTTTTTAATCAAGAAAATGTAGAAAAGGCGGGCGTTAAAAAAAACCCTAGAAAATTAGAAAATTTTCGGGTTCTCAAACTCATTTTTTTCGGGGCATCACAATCTCCCCTCCTTAAAAGAATGTCGTCCTCGACATTCCCTCTTGTACTAATCAAGTCAAGACATCCCGCAAAAATCACTCAAGCATTCCAAGCAAACACTAAGAGTCAAATCAAACCCACAGTCCGGCATCCTAAACTTGAAGCCTAGGATACACTACAGAGATCTAAAGCCTAAACTCTGATACCACCTGTGACGGCCCCACCTCTCCCTAGGGCGTACCAGAGGGTTCGGCGGGCCGCCTGCCCGGCACTCGCCGGGACTCAGTCGTTCACTACAATCCTCAAATAAATACAATACAAATCTCAAGTATACATCAAATGGTCCACAAATACTCATCCGTCTCCAATAATTACATGTCACAAATGCAGCGGAAACTAATCCCAAATATGCATAAAATAATTCTGAATCCAAAATTGTACAAAGTTTAGGCC